ATATATACTTGATGAGTAGTATTTCGAGCCAAAACGAGCCGAACACGAACGAACACATCTTAGTCCGTGTTCGGCTCGTTAACTTATCGAACGAAATTAATGAGCTGAACACGAGCTTGTTAACGAGTCGAACACGAGCTGTTCGCGAACAACGAGCCGTTTTGACAGCCCTAGAGCTGTCTAGCATACCCGCATCGAGGAATGGGCGCACCTGTGCCTTTAGGCAATCCATATCATGGCATAGTTGTGCCAGGCCCCAACCAACCTAACCGAATTTTTTGACCAAGTCTCCCACTTGGTCATGAGTGCTGCCATTTGCATGGGCTAAAAGTTAGGGGTCCAATGAGGTTCCCCCATGTCAGCACACCTCCCTAGTAACTAATAGAATGCATCCTAGGTGGATTAAATCCATTATTTTATGGCATTTTACAGGGGAAAAGCCACCAATAGGTAGCTAGTTGAGGGGAGTGTGTCCGAAAATCATTTCACTTGGTGAGGGTTTTCAGTTGGAGAGTGCTAGATAGAGCTTCAAATACACTTGAAGCTTAAATACACCACTTGCGAACATCATTTCCTCGCTTCAACAAGCAAAGAACACCAACACTTGGAAGGATCAACCACAAAGCTATGAGGACTTTTCCTTTTTTTCTTCGTTCAAGAAGGTTTTGTTTCAACACATAAATAGAAAAAAAATATATAGTTTCTCACGCTTGTGCACAAAATACCATACATGTTTGCTTTTTGTTAGGAATGTGGATAGTTCACACTTTCCTTCTCTTTCTTTTAATAAGGCCCATGTTTTGTCTAGTTAGGTGTCTTATGTACTCTTATGTAACCTTTTGATTTTATATTAATGCAAAATGCACATTTCAGGGAACCATTGTTTTGTGGTTCTCCCCGCTGTTCTCAACCCGGAGAATCACCAAACTTCTTCTATTCCCTTCCAAAACCAATCGACCTCACATATTTTCTCTCCCTTGCTATTCTACAACCACCTACCCGCTAAATACGATCCGTAAAGACCTTTTAGGAACCCTAGAACGATGTCACTTCAGTGTTGCATTGTCGCAAGAGATATTGCACCTATCACCGCGTCCTCAACCCTCTTCAAAGAGTAAGTCCACAACTTCCCCACTTACTCTTTTTATTTTCTCTCAACCTTATTATAATCAATTCATTACCCTTTTTCCTTGCAAATATATTGATATATAATATACTTTTTGGTCTTTTCTTACCGAAGTTGTTGTTCCTCATTACTTAGGAAAGGTTTTGTTAAGCAATTATTCCCTTTTAATCTTAGATTTGGGTTTTGATTTGGTTAATTTTAGATTCGTTAATATGATTAAGTTTAAGAATGTTGGTTTAATTACATAATAATCATTGTATTCAGGTTAACCAGGTTGAACATATGTTAGCTAACTATTGATTTTTCAATGCTAATATATACATACATGTGATTAATGAAAGTATCTATCATGTAATACCTTCAAGTTGATTTTCACCAAATATAATTTGGTTAACAATTAAATTTAGAGTTTTGTACTACTCGCTTTAAAGCAGGAAACTTTTAATTTGTAAAGGATAAAAAACATAGCATTCCTTATGTGGGTATCATTGATGCTTATGATTGGTTCCCAAGATATTTAGCAGATTGGCAGTCCTGCTTTCACAATCTATTCATATTTTACAAAAGTTCAAAAATCTTATTTAATAGATAATAGCGAAATATTATGCCATATGCATAGCTAAATTTCCTAGCTTTGAATGATCATATGATTGCAAGTTGTTCTCATATATTAGTTGAATGTAATAAATCTTGTTCATGCAGCATATTTTATTATCAACCTAGATCTAGTCAAATTGATTATAGAATACCAGCTAAATACATGCTTATAATATAGATTAATGCGTATGCTTGTTTATTGCGGATGTCTAAATTGGTAGAAACCTTTTGGATTTGACTAGCAGGATTGAAGGGTTCACAAAATGATAATTCTTCACATAACCATTAGATTTTCATAGGTGGGCGAAAATCCTAATCGTGTGTCATCAAAAGTACATGATGATTGGGGTGACCCAACCACAAGAGCTCAATCCATAATATTTGTGTGAAAAAACATAAATTTTACAATACATTCTCTTTAAATTTTGGAGTTTAGATCTTAAACTATAATTGGAGGCTCGTCAAAATATACGGGAATATAATTATTTTCATAAATAATATTAATTCCATTTAATTTGGCTGGCCAAAGGGAGTTGGAGGCCTTCTAGTAGAGGCAGCCAAGGATTTATTGAGGCAGCTGGTTCTATGGAGGTACTTACATAGCCAAACCCTCCCTCCTCCGCCCTCTCTCATTTTCAAATTTCAAATTAAATCTAATAAATACTATATATTATTGATTGTTATAAAATGATGCTTTATGGCTGCTGTTTGATCGAATATTGGAGTGAAATTTCAACTGTGGCGAGTCTTGATGCCTTACTATAACAAGGTGGGGTTTGGAGATCCCTTTAACCTAAGTCATTTAGGATAATGATTTGATCTCTGTGTTGCTCTTTTCTTTGGAATTCTATTTACATCCATCCCTATCTTACTAAATTAAATCACTGATAAAAAAGCCCACAAAATTCTCATAAAAAATCCATAAAGGTGGCCTGCCAACTAGGAAAGGAATCAAAATTAGACTTTGATCTATTCTAAAACTTATTTGTTCAATAATCTTGAAAAATTTTAGAAATATTCTAGAAACACTTACCTAGCAAGTCACCGTTGCGGCACTCTTCCTTTACTTGCTGGTAGCTAGTTTCACCAATCCGCCCGGTGAGACTTCCTGTTACTCAAAGACACATTACAAGATTCATAGCCACTTGATGAACTTGTCCCGATCCATGTGACCATCGAAATATGAAAAATTCACTTTAGTTCAAAATTTTATTTTCCTAGATATTTCAAGTCAAATCTTTGAGATATAGGTTCTTCATCCGTGGAATATGCATGATGGAAGAAAATCACCACATTCTTGCGAACTAGCAAGTCACCATTGCGGCTACGTATAACACCTCTGGATGGCCTCCTTTCCTCAATTTCATCAAACTATTGTAGCATTCGACAGAGTTGTCGTTGTATCTCTTCCATGGTAAATTTTTTATCGATGTCTGACTATTGTCTTCTTGGTAGCATAATTAGGGTTCGGGTATGGGTAGGTGAAAAAAGGTGTGTAGGGGTGAAGGTGGGAAAGAAAATTTTTGGGTGGTCGGATTGAAAAATCAGCAAAGGGGAGGATTTTTGTGTGGTGGGGTTGGGTATGGGTGGATGCTAGTAAACCTAGGATTGGACTGAGATTTAGTTAGCTATAATACCAAATGACATCGGAGTTAACCCAAACCACAACTGAAAAAAAAAATATTGGTGGGTATCTGAAATAGCAACAGACATGACATAAAAACTCAAACTAGTCTGGATTCTGGGGTGGTGGTGATCAGCGAGGTGGAAATGTGACATGAAGGTTAAAAAGGCATTTGGCAAGTTGAAAACAACAAGGGGGTTGTTTTCCGGTGTTGGAAAACAAGAAAATAATAGGAAGCCGGGTGGGAGGGCTATCCGGGAACGACAGTAAGGAGGGGCTGAAATG